TTAATTATGCTCGGCCATTTGTTGCACGACAGACAGAATCTCGCTGCTCCTCCGCCCTCTGGTGCATGTTGCCAGGTGCATTGACCAGGCGACAATGATAATAAATTCCTTCAGCCTCTGGCAACACCCTCCCTTTAGGTCTCCGAGGTGCGATCCCAGCCTTAATAAAATGCAAGTGCACAAATATTTTCATCCAGACGGGACAACAACTCCTTCACAGCTTCCTGCCACCGCTGCGCCCCGCCCACCAATGTCCTGTAAACTATTTACAAAAGAGGAATTCTCATTTTGCCAAAAGGAATTTGCAAAAACAAAAGGCAGTAGAAGTGCGAGTGGGAGTCTGAGAGCGGGGGAGTGCAGAAAGAGAATTGCTCGACTGGGGGAGCTTGACAAAGTGTGACCAAGTGTCATAAATAACTTAGTTAAACAGCTGCAGCTACAGTCTTCGGGAAAAGTATGTGTCGTTAAGTGAGAAAGTTACAAGGGCCAAACATGAATCTCAAAAATGGGGAAACAAGTCGGGAGAGATTCAACTGCGTCGGAAGGGACTGCAGATTAAAGTAAAGAGATGCATACACACATGTGAGGTACCTTAGTAGAGGGTTGTACAGAAGATGTATCGATAAAAGTCAAATACGGTAATGAAAGTTTAAGAGTCTTAGGGGATACCAGGACTCATTACTCTGATGGCGCGAAACAGATGAAAATTAATTTTGGAATAATTGAAAGAAAATCTTCAACCAAGGAAACACTACAGATATTCAAATGTATTCGTATACATCTACTGTTAATTTCCTTTGCAGCTAATTCGTGAATATCAGCCATTAAAAAAAGCTATTACTCTTGTTTAAAATACATTTCGAATGTAACATCCAAGGATATTCAAATTAATTTGCAAATGTCAACCTAGTGGCAGGCATAGCCCAGCTTCCAATCGTATTTCACACGATCTCATTACACATAGATCAAAAGTCACATCTGATATCCTCTATTCCTTCCACATCCCCTGATTATCCCCTGAACCCTCTGCCCTCGCCCAGAACACACACACCTTCCATACTCGTAAAAGCTTTACAACAAAGCAAAGGAAAATCATATATAAATTACGCCACAATAAATATAAATAAAAGGGGAAACAAAATTTAGAGCTCTCCTCCTATATATCCGCCATAAACAGGAAGCCAAAAGGAGCTGCCAACTCGAATTTTTATGGCCAAAAATGCAAATCCCCGCAAATGACTCAGCTGGCAAAAGAGGCCACTCAGGGTTACTGTTCCCACGCCGCCAGTCCTGGCGCTGGTGTAAATTTTGCACACCTTTCACGCCGCGTCTAATAAAATATTTATTACCGTCAGGAAAAAAATACTGAAAAAAATGACTGCAGCCGAAAATGCCAGCAGAAAAGATGAAACAAAAATACCAAGGCCAACCAAGCCAAGCGGCAGGAGAAGTGGTAGAGGAGAGTGGTTCTGGAGCTGGTAGCGGTGGCGGGAAGCTGGAGGGAGAGGAGATGATGGTTACCACCGAGCCTCGGAGGAGGGCGGAGGCACGACATCACGTACTGCGGCAATCGCTTGCTAATGCGGCAAAATGTCAAAGTGGCAAATGCTGCAGCGGCAGCGGCAGCGGCAGCCGCCAGCCATCAACCGTATCCTCCGCGCAGACCTCTGGCCCACAACTTTATGAAATCGTTAGCTAATTAAATGTATTTTTTTTTTCTTTCGAAAATATAATAAAACAAAATAGATGCACCTACACGAAGATGGATCGTCGTCCGCAGGTCACGAGCAATATTAGCTCGTCCATAAAAACAAAAACCAAAAAGTGTAAAACTTTGTGAAAACTGACTCCGAGCGACATCGCACTATTATATTTGTCTACGTATAGACATTGGTTGGTTTCCTTTTTTCGTGGGACCTGGGACTTTTAATAGAAAAAAAGTAGTGAAAGTAAAATGAGGATGATTTCTGCGCTTGTTATTTAAATTAATTGGCGGTCTGCGAAGAGTTTTGGACAATTTAGACAGGTGCCACAGGAAGATGTTGCTGCTGGTGTCGCATTTGGTCAGAAGAAGTGCATGCCTCTGACTCTGTTTTGCTTGGAGCTGAAGAACTGGGTAACTGTGGGAAACTGAAACCAAGTGAAAGGATTCATGTAGAATGCAGCGAAAGCTGCAATCTTATGGTGGCGATATGATTTTCTCCCCTGTCTGGGGTCACATTTATTGACAGACTCTCGCCTAGGCCTAGGAGAACTTTCCCTGTAATTTAAAAGAATCAAATGTAAATAGGGAAAAATAAATTTCAAAAATAAATCAATGTTGCTAATGCAATCCCTAGCTTAACGCTTAGTGTGTGTTTTCACCATTTTTTGCCACCTTCACCACAAGGAACTCTCACACTTTGGACTTGGTCCCTTTCCCTCCAGAAGTTGACATCTTTATCTTTATCTTTCTAATTTCTGCTTTGCTTACCTCAAAACGGCGTATGTGGCGCCATCTGTGGGATGTTGGCTGAACATAGCGGACGAGTAGCTCTGACGAGTTTGGCAGCCGTCTCGCTCGCGCTAAAAGTTTCTGATGCTACCTCTTTCTTTAGTCTTTTCTTCTGTGTGCAGAGCGAGGCGGGCGGCTATGTTGTCATCGCGTGTTTGCTGAACATTCTTGAAGTGTTTGCTGTTGTTGCTTGTTGCTTGTTGATGTTGCACTTTCCGCTTATCTTATAGGGGAGGCCAAAACGTCGACAAGGAAGTCATTAGCCAGAGGTTAGCCAAGGAACTGACCCCCCTTTTCCATGTGGCTGGAAAAACATTGTGGAAAAGATCGCCAATGAAGCCCCCTTCCTCTGAACTTTTCCTCGTTTTTTTCTTTGCTGAATATTGAAAAAGTTTTCCCTCAAGTCAGGCCACAGAGGATCTGGAAAACAATTGATTAAAATAAACCCAAAGAACAATTTTTGAACTCAGCTCTTGAATTGGGATTGGATATAGTATATGCACAAATATTTTAATACGGGAAATATTTATATACTCGTAGTGAAGCTTATGTCCGGCTGAAAGAAATAGTTTCTCCGAAGAGAAAAGGGTAAAGTTTAAAGGCGAAGTTTTTTCCGTAGAATCAGAGGGGGAAGGAAATGAAGGGAATAGTATTGAGGAGAACGCAGCAGAGCGGAGCGGAGCAGAAGGAAGCAAAATGAAATTTCATCGGCGCGCTCTCGTACACTCACTCCCCCGCTCTGCGCTCCACGCTCTGCAAAGAGCGAAGTGATATGCTTAAGCAGCAACAATTCACTGCGAAAGACCGAAAGGCCGAAGTTACTGTCGCGTCGCTGTCGACGGCAGCGTCGGCGAAGGGCAGCAGCGAAACAAATGAAAATGCAAAAGTGGAAAAAGTTAAAAGTTTTGTAATAACTGCAGCCAAAGACAGTGCCAGGGAGGGGGTAGTGAGTAGGAGTGCTGCGACAGCTGGCCGCAACGCAATAAAGTTTGCCACAAAGTAAATGAAAAGAAGGGAGAGTGGCCGTGTTGAAGGGAGCGAGCATGTTGATCCAAGAACGGAGAACACTATAATCCCATCAGCGAAACAATATAAAAGTAGAAGAATGATCTTTTTGGGGGCAGGCAGCAGCCTGTTGGAGCTCGTCGGGCAACGGCTGCAAAGATCCTTCTACCAAATGATCCAAAAACCATGTTAAGAATGATGCTGGAACCTGGATCAGTACACACTTTTGCAGGAACATTCCGTTCGATGAGTCATATGGCTGCCACAAGGCCAATAGAGCAGGTCCAGGTCCAGGAACATTTTGGGGGGGGTTCATCAAAGGCTCTTTTGTTGGACCAGTCCCTTAGTGTTGATTGGAGTTCTTGGCGGTCATAGTTACAGTCCCATCCCTGTCACACACGCACATCACTGGCACAACACACAAGAACACCTCACTTTAATCAAGCGCCAATTGTTGAAACGACATCGTTATTCCAGAACCGCGTACCCTCCTACAATCCCCACTCAATGCCCTGGTCCCATCTGGTGCCGACCCATGCGATTCAATCCGCCGGCCTGCCCACAATAGTTAACAGCATTGTTACACTTTTAAACGGTATTTTTACGTTTGAATATGCGGCAAAGGTAAAAGCAAAATGGCAAAACCAAAAACCGAAAACCGAAACTAGAACCCAAACGATGTCGCGACTCTACTTGACTGTGGGGCTCCTCTCCCGGTCCTCCTGGCCGATCCGGGACCAATGCGGTTCATTAGCGGCTCCAAATGCGATTTTCCCCCTACTGTCCGCTGCGGCCCATCCACAGGGGCAGACCAGGAGAGTGGGTCTGGGGTCTGGACCTGAAACTAGAACACATGAGCACGTAATTTAGTAGCCGCTTTGGCGCTTTTGTGTGAAAATCACATCGACAACAGCAACAACTGCAGCAACTCCGCCAACACACAGCTCCCATCCAATCCAATCCCGTCCCCTTCCCCAATCTACTCGTTGTTTATGGCCATGTGCCGCATTGGGATCACATTCGGGCCACTTTGTGTGGGTCCGGTTTGTGCCGTTAATTCCTTTTTATAAACAGCAAGCGATACAATAGCACAATACTCCCCCCCAACCACTGTTTCCAGCAAGGCAAAAAAAAACGAATTTTATTTGTTACTCGCTGAGGTTAGACCAGGGCCCAAACTAATCACTTTTTTCTTGGGCAACATGCAAAGCTTGAACTTGGATTCGGCACCATCTGGAGGCGGACCATAAGACTGTCTCCTTCAGGAAAAGCATATGTCGAGTTGGGGCTGAGGTATATAGTAAATGGTTATGGAAAAGGAACAGATTTCAAAGAGGATGGGGAGAGGGTACGAATAGCTTCTAACAGGCCTTTTCTTATCCTATCTTGTCCAGTACTACGCACTGTTCCACTAGGAAATTCCTTTTAAATCAAACCTATCGCCGCTATCAGGCCACTCAGACAATGAAATATCGCTGATAAAGAATGAAAACAAATTGCGTCCAGTGCTGCTCAAATTGATTAATGGCAATCATAAAAACTTAAGAACACAAATACACACAACCAGAGAGATATTGATTAATATTTTGGGTTTTGACCAGAATCTGATGTCAGTTAGTGGAGCTTCTTCTGGAGACGCTCGGCCAGGAGGGCGGCAAGGGAGGCCTTGGGATTGAAGTCAGCATCGCTGGCCACGGAGATGTCGGGGATGAGGTCCACATCAGGACTGTCAGCTATATGACGAGGATTATTCGTTTATACAAGGTATTACGAAGCAGTAAAATTAAAAGCAACTTACCCTTAATCTCGGGGACCTGGACAGGTGTCTTCAGCGAATTCTTCTCGGGAGTCTCAATAGCATCAGAGGCAACAGACATATCTGGAACCTGTCGAGGATTCTTCAAGCCAGCGATGGCCTTCTTGGGGGTGACATCGGCATCGGAGGCCACGGAAATATCTGGGATCAAATCAGCATCGGCCTGGGGCTGCACCGCCTCGGCTCCGGAAACCATGGCGACCTTGGGAAGAGTCTTCAAGCCAGCGATGACCTTCTTGGGGGTGTCATCGGCATCGGAGGCCACGGAGATGTCTGGGATCAAAGCAGCATCAGCCTGGGGCTCCACAGTCTCGGCTCCGGAAACCTTGGCGAACTTGAGAAGAGTCTTCAAGCCAGCGATTGCCTTCTTGGGGGTGTCATCGGCATCGGAGGCCACGGAAATATCTGGGATCAGATCAGCATCGGCCTGGGGCTCCACCGCATCGGCTCCGGAGACCTTGGCGACCTTGGGAAGAGTCTTCAAGCCAGCGATGGCCTTCTTGGGGGTGTCATCGGCATCGGAGGCCAGGGAGATGTCTGGGATCAAATCAGCATCGGCCTGGGGCTCCACCGCCTCGGCTCCGGAGACCTTGGCGAGCTTGGGAAGAGTCTTCAAGCCAGCGATGGCCATCTTGGGGGTGTCATCGGCATCGGAGGCCACGGAGATGTCTGGGATCAAATCAGCATCAGCCTGGGGCGCCACAGCCTCGGCTCCGGAAACCTTGGCGAACTTGAGAAGAGTCTTCAAGCCAGCGATGGCCATCTTGGGGGTGTCATCGGCATCGGAGGCCACAGAAATGTCGGGAATGAGATCGGCATCGGCACTGCCAACTTCTCCAAGAAACTTGGCTATTGGGGCCCTCTTCTGACCAAAGTAAGTCCGCTTGGGGGTGTCATCAGCATCGCTGAGCATGGACATGTCCGGAATCAATTCAGCACTATCCCGGGCCAAGTTCTGCATCACGGCCTGAACCTGCTCGGCAATGGCTTAAAGGTAATCGAAGTTTAGAACCTGAGAAAAGTCTTTAAGATCTCTTCCCCCTTACCTTTCAGATCAGATGGGGTGGGCAGACGGTTTATCTCGTACACGAAGTTCCTGGTCTGGGGCACGACGCTGCCGCTGACCAGCGGGAGAATGAGCAGAGCGCAGATAGCAAAGTATTTCATGGTGGGTGTCTTGGGCGGGACTGAGCCACAAAGGCACTTGAGGCGAGCCTTTATAGCGGCCTTATCGGGGCGGGACTCATCTAATTTACGACAATTGGACGCAGACCTCTCCAGATTAGATTCCACTCCGCTGCCAGCGGAAAGCCTAGAGCCCACAGGCGAGCGACTAGATTGCTCCACGCCCTATAAATCTTGGCCGGTGGTTCACCCGAATCAGAAAGCGTCAATCGAATCTAAGGTGACCAGGAATGGGACGATTTCCCTTCGCCGATGGCGGTGCGAAGAGTGCTCTTCCGCAGCCCTTTCTCTCTTTATTTTTTCGATCAGTGTTTTGGCTGTCGTATCTTATCACATTTCATTATTGAAACGATGACGTGGTGCCCAACCAGTACCACACGTATGTATGTACCCATGTGTCACCCGGTTATAACTTATCAAACCAGTTACATCAGCCGATCACTTTGATCAGGGATTAGTGATTCCTTACGATAATCCTAATAAACGCACATGATTTGTGATTATGATGCATAAATGTATGCATCAGATTTACATAAATGGAGCGTAAAATCCATTTTTTTGTATCCCCGCCAGACGGAGTCCTATCCAAGCATTCCCTAGGCGTATTCGAGACAGGCCGAATCCAGCCCGACAGAATCGGGCTAAGATCCGAAACTAAAAAGCCATCGTCATCCTTCGAACTGGCCATCGAACACCAGGACTTTGTTTATGGCAACCAAAAGTCCTGCCAATCGACTGCAATCGGAAAAAAGGACATACGTTTTCTCAACATTTTCCCAAAAAAAATCACTTCATTAGATTCTCTAAAAATCTCTAAAATTCGTAGGCGAGATTTTGATGCCGTTCGACAGACTGGATCCCCATGGTCTTGGGAATGTAGGTCCCTCGCCGATTTGGATTTGCGTATCATTCCAAAAATAATGGTTTCTTCTGCACGCTATATCTCTGCTGTAAGGCAGCCGATCGGGGCGCGGCATGTCTTTTCGTGATCGGGAGAATCCTGCCAACCGATTGTGATCAGAATCAAGGACATCGGGCTTGTCACGATTTTCGCAAAAAATCATGATGTAACCATCATTGAATTTGTCAAAAATCGGCCTTATTTTCGTGGTCGAGATTTTGATGCCGTTCGACAGGCTGGATCCCCACGGTCCTGCGAATGTAGGTCCTTCGCCGATCTGGCCCTATTTGTCTGAGATATAGCCTTCCGAAGATTTTGATTTGCGTATCATTCCAAAAATAATGGTTTCTTCTGCACGCCATATTCCTGCTATAAGGCAGCCGATCGGGGCGCGGCATGTCTTTTCGTGATCGGGAGAATCCTGCCAACCGATTGTGATCAGAATCAAGGACATCGGGCTTGTCACGATTTTCGCAAAAAAACCTTAATGTTACCATCATTGAATTTGTCAAAAATCGGCCTCATTTTCGTGGTCGAGATTTTGATGCCGTTCGACAGGCTGGATCCCCACGGTCCTGCGAATATAGGTCCTTCGCCGATCTGGCCCTATTTGTCTGAGATATACCCTTCCGAAGATTTGGATTTGCGTATCATTCCAAAAATAATGGTTTCTTCTGCACGCTATATCTCTGCTGTAAGGCAGCCGATCGGGGCGCGGCATGTCTTTTCGTGATCGGGAGAATCCTGCCAACCGATTGTAATCAGAATCAAGGACATCGAGCTTGTCACGATTTTCGCAAAAAATCATGATGTAACCATCATTGAATTTGTCAAAAATCGGCCTCATTTTCGTGGTCGAGATTTTGATGCCGTTCGACAGGCTGGATCCCCACGGTCCTGCGAATATAGGTCCTTCGCCGATCTGGCCCTATTTGTCTGAGATATACCCTTCCGAAGATTTGGATTTGCGTATCATTCCAAAAATAATGGTTTCTTCTGCACGCTATATCTCTGCTGTAAGGCAGCCGATCGGGGCGCGGCATGTCTTTTCGTGATCGGGAGAATCCTGCCAACCGATTGTAATCAGAATCAAGGACATCGAGCTTGTCACGATTTTCGCAAAAAATCATGATGTAACCATCATTGAATTTGTCAAAAATCGGCCTCATTTTCGTGGTCGAGATTTTGATGCCGTTCGACAGGCTGGATCCCCACGGTCCTGCGAATATAGGTCCTTCGCCGATCTGGCCCTATTTGTCTGAGATATACCCTTCCGAAGATTTGGATTTGCGTATCATTCCAAACATAATGGTTTCTTCTGCACGCCATATCCCTGCTATAAGGCAGCCGATCGGGGCGCGGCATGTCTTTTCGTGATCGGAAGAGTCCTGTCAATCAGCTGCCATCGACAAAAAAGACATCCATTACCTGTATATTTAAATAAAAATGAATAATATACTTTCACTGACAGTATAACTTTTCTTTATTCTTAGAATGCTATTGGTCCTGCCACTAACCATACAGTACACCGAACATGTCGCAAACGAACTTTCTGGATTAGATCCCAGGATCTTCGACTCTGGCAATCTGCTAAAACCGCGTCATCATGAGCCAGCCATGACGGCCATTCATACGCCGCCGAATCAAACACTGGGCTTCAGCTTCGAGACGCGTAAGTGAATCAGTATATAATTGTGGACATATTTTAAAATATGTCTTCCTTCACAGAGGGCTTTGCCACAAATCGAGTCGTATCCAAGCATTACCGAGGCGTCGTCGAGACAGACCGAGCCAGACAGAACCGTATTCCAGCATGACAGGAGCGCACCCCTTGCAAGATCCGAACCCAACAAGCCATCGTAATCATTCGACCTGGCCATCGACAACAAGGACTTTCCCTATGGCAACCAAGGGAGAGATTGTTGCATATAGGTTACAGATAGATCAAAATGTTTTGCACTTGTTTCTTTATTTATTTATTTGATTATTTATTTAAGTTTTGATGAATAAAACTATTGAAAAAACATCCTTGCTCTGTTCTGTATCCGGGAGACTACCCCGATTACAAAAAGGCGTGGCACGCCATGATATGTTCACAAATAGAGGAGAAAACAACATTTTTTTGATTGGGGAAAAGGTCCTTAATCCTTGGTAAGGACTCCATTAAATCAGGGACATTTTTCCGAGCACAGGGAGCCGTCGCACGCCCAGAGCGGACCACAAATAACGGAGAAAACATAACTGGCTTGAAATTTGTTATTTTTGAAAATTTAGTTCAAGAAATCACCGATGGGTGACTGGGATACCAGGCGAACAGAAATCAGCAGAAGGTCGCAGATTTTTTAATTTTGGAGCCCCCAAAAGTATGCACCACGTTTTTTTAATATCCTAAAGTTGCTTGCTGCTGATTTCTGTTCGCCTGGTATCCCAGCCATTTGTCGCGAGTTCTTTTCTTGTACGGTGGCGCCCCCATCAGGGATTTCTTGAACTACATTTTTTAAAATGTTCCGTTATTTATGGGCCGATCTGGGCGTGCGATGGCTTCCTGTGCTCGGAAAAATGTCCCTGATTTATGAAGTCCTTTTCAAGGACCAAGGATATCCAGGATCAAAAATACTCATTTTCTCCACTATTTATGGCCCGTTATGGGCGTGCGACGGCTTCCTGTATTTAGAAAAATGTCCCTGATTTTATGAGGTCCTTATGAAGCACCAAGGATCAAGGATTTTTCTCCAGACATATATATCTGGTTTTCTGCCTTATTTATGGCCCGATCGGGTCGTTTCATCGCCCCACGTGATACGAAAAGTTTCCTTGATCCTTCGGTAAGGACTCCAACAACCCCAACTATACATCTTTAGTTTTCTCTGCTTATTGTGGCCCTTGTGGCTTCTTGTGTTCTTAAGATCATCCTTGATGTAATGCAGTCCTTATCAAGGACCAAGGATCAAGGATACTTTCTCCAGACATATATATCTTGTTTTCTCCCTTATTTGTGGCCTGAGCGGAAGGTGCCATGGCCCGTCGAGACCTAAAAAATTTCCTTGATCCTTCGGAAAGGACTCCAACAACTCTTACCATACATATCTATTTTTTTCGCAATTTGTGGGCCGATCTGGTCGTGCGATGACTTCTTGTGATCGACAAAATATCCCTGATTTAATGGAGTCCTTACCAAGGATCAAGGACCTTTTCCCCAATCAAAAAAATGTAGTTTTCTCCTCTATTTGTGAACCCATCATGGCGTGCCACGCCTTTTTGTAATCGGGGTAGTCTCCCGGATACAGAACAGAGCAAGAATTATTTTTCAAAAGTTTTATTCATCAAAACTTAGCTTAGTATAAATAAACAAACAAGTCGAAAACATTTTGATCTATCTTTAACCTAAATGCAACAATATCTATCTAGAGTCTAGTAGAACGCGTAGCTCCTCCCTTGGTTGCGATAGTCAAAGTCCTTGTTGTCGATGGCCAGGTCGAAGGATGACTTTTAAGTTTCGGATATTCCAAGGGGTGCGCTTCTGTCCTGCTGGGATACAAAGCTACCGATCGTGGCGCGGAATGTCTTTTCGTGATCGGGAGAGTCCTGCCAACCAATTGTCATCAGAATCAAGGACATCGAGCTTGTTCCACAGGCTGGATCCCCACGGTCCTGCGAATGTAGGTCCTTCGCCGATCTGGCCCTATTTGTCTGAGATATAGCCTTCCGAAGATTTTGATTTGCGTATCATTCCAAAAATAATGGTTTCTTCTGCACGCCATATCCCTGCTATAAGGCAGCCGATCGGGGCGCGGCATGTCTTTTCGTGATCGGGAGAGTCCTGCCAACCAATTGTCATCAGAATCAAGGACATCGAGCTTGTTCCACAGGCTGGATCCCCACGGTCCTGCGAATGTAGGTCCTTCGCCGATCTGGCCCTATTTGTCTGAGATATAGCCTTCCGAAGATTTTGATTTGCGTATCATTCCAAAAATAATGGTTTCTTCTGCACGCCATATCCCTGCTATAAGGCAGCCGATCGGGGCGCGGCATGTCTTTTCGTGATCGGGAGAGTCCTGCCAACCAATTGTCATCAGAATCAAGGACATCGAGCTTG